GAGAGAGAGAGAGAGAGAGAGAGAGAGAGAGAGAGAGAGAGAGAGAGAGAGAGAGAGAGAGAGAGAGAGAGAGAGAGAGAGAGAGAGAGGAGAGGAGAGGAGAGGAGGAAAAAAGGTGTCAAAAAAGTTCGAGGAGGGATATGGAAGATTACTTGCTGTTGAGCAGTGAGAGGAACCAACAAGACAGCATCTCTCTCATTCTCCTCCTCCTCCTCTTCTCGACCAAGTGCCACACCCTCCCATCCAGGTTCACCTAGACAACCTCAGTGCCGGTCGCTCCCTCCCTCTTCTCGCTCCACCTCCATCCTCTTCATCAGCTTTCTGTCCCTCTCTCTCCCTTGCTTGTCGTCCCTGGTCAGCTGTCAACACGCGCTGCCTCCTCCCTCCCCCTCCCCTAGTACCTCAAAAACTCGCACCACATGCTCCACTCATGGAAGCACTTCCCCACCAGCAGCCAGAAGCTGATCCTGACTGTCGACAGACAAGATTAGATCTTCCTCCTCCTCCTCCTCCTCCTCCTCCTCCTCCTCCTCCTCCTCCTCCTCCTCCTCCTCCTCCTCCTCCTCCTCCTCCTCCTCCTCCTCCTCCTCATTCCTCTTTCCTCCTTCCTGCTCCCCGCATCTCCAGCTTTGCTTGTTGTGCTCTTCCCCCTTTTCCCCCTCTCCTCCCCCTCCTCCTCCCCTCCTCAGGACAAGTTCACCGCAAGTCCGCACGATCCTCCCCCTGACGGCATTCTGAGCAGACAGGTGGCTCCATCTCAGCATCGCGTCCTCAGCACAAGATCTCTTCCTCGCGCTCCTGGCAGCTCCAACCATCAGCAACGGCAGTCGAAGCCACCAGAGGTCACTCACAAGCTCTCCCTCGCGCAGCTCCTCCCGTGCGATCGTCTCCTCCAACGCGCGACGACATCCCTCCTCCTCCTCTCCCCTCGCCTCGTCGCCAACATCTCCCCTGCCGCTCTCACCTGCTGGCGGATGGAGCATGCTTCCTTGAGAGAGCGGAGGAGGAGCGACAGGAGGAAGAGGTCGTGCCTCCTTCCGACCCTCCTTTCCAAGACGCGCCTGACGCGGCCTTCACTTGCGATCTGCCTCCACAGCTCTAGAGTTCGTCCCATCCCCCTCCTCCATCTCCTCCTCTCCTGTGCTGCTCTCTTCCTCGCCTCCCCCCACCTCAAGGCCCAGCAGGTGATAGAGCAGGAGAGGAGCAGACGGCGAGTTTTCCTCTCCCGCTCCTCCCCCTTCCGTCTCCTCGTCCTCCTCTCCCTCCACTCCCTCGTCCATGTACTGAACGTCCTCCACAAGCATCTCCCGCACGCCCTTGTCATCACCAGGTAGGAGGCACGAGCGCGTTTCCTGCCTGACAGCACGACATCCTTCCACGTGCCCAGGAGGGCTGACAGGCGCCTCCCCTCGAGCTCCTTCACCACCTCCCTCCTCTGCTGCTTCCTCCTCCACCACCTCTCGAGCCTCCTTAAGCAGCTTCTAGCAAGTCGACGGTCTCCCCGCCTCTCCCTCCATGCCCGCAGGAGTCTGCAGATCCGCTGCTCCTTGTCCAACGCCTTGACAGTGTCTTGTCTGACCATCTCGACCTGGCGCATCAGCGTAAACGGGCAGCAGACAAGGGACGGCAGCGACCCAGAGCTCGAAGTCGTCCAGGTCAGCGCAGACCAGGCAGCAGGAGTCGAAGGCTTCCGCCAGCCTCGCGTTGTTCTCTCTCTCTGTCTTGAGCAGCACCTGTGACGTCAATCAGGAGGTGGAGAGAGGAGGCGAAGAAAGAGGGGGAGGAGAAGCGGAGGAGAAGAGGAAGACAACAGAGGAAGTGGGGAGGGGACAAGGGAGCAGGGCAGGAGGGCAGGAGGGGAAGGCAGGAGCGACCTTGAGCACATCCTCTCTCGATCGGATCCACTCGACTTGAGTCCTCCAGGTCCTGATACAAGCTCGCAACGACAGGACGAGAGAGCTTTGAGCATGGAGACTATGGCTTGCTTGTAGCATGTGCAGCAGACAACTGCAACACGCAAGTCAGCCACCATCAGCCACTCGTGCTGGCCTACTTCTTCGTCGTGCTGACTTCGCGCCATGCCGACAGGCAGGCTCCCATCCTCCTCTTCTCGCTATGCCTGCCGTACGTCTCCACGAGCGAGAGAGTATCACGCCGTGTCGCCATCAGCTCCTTCCAGTTTCAAGGCAGCGAGTCAGAAGGGAGCAGGAGAGTAGGGAGCAGGAGCAGGAGCAGGAACAAAAGCAGCAGCAGCAGCAGCAGCAGCAGCAGCAGCAGCAGCAGCAGCAGCAGCAGCAGAAGCAGAAGCAGAAGCAGAAGCAGAAGCAGAAGCAGAAGCAGAAGCAGAAGCAGAAGCAGAAGCAGAAGCAGAAGCAGAAGCAGAAGCAGAAGCAGAAGCAGAAGCAGAAGCAGAAGCAGCAGCAGCAGCAGCGGGAACGGGAGCAGGAGGAAGAGGGCAAGGGAAGACCTGCCACGACTCGAACTTGTTCTTCATAACATGCTCGCCAACTTTCTCTCTCATGGATGAGACTCTCCTCCTCTCCCACCGTCGCTCAACAGCAAGGTGCAGCCAGAACCTCAACTTCACGTGCGTCAGCCGGGGGCAGCAGGAAGAGCAGCCGTCACCATCCTCCTCCTCGTCCGCTGCAGCTCGATCCCATCCCTCCTCCTCCTGCTACCGCTGCTGCCCAGGAGACAGGAGTCAGTGTCTTCTGCCTCGCAGCGGATACACATGTGACCTCTCAGCCTCCCCTCGGATCTTCTTGGGAGGGAGAGGATGGGCGAACCTCTCAAGGAACAAGACGTCTCTCACCCTCGCTGCTCCCGTCACCAGGTCGTCCACGTCACCATCCCGCCCTCAGCGCACCATCCCAGCACTACCTGGAGAGAGGCAGAGGCCCTTCTTCATGCACATGCACTGCCTGGCGACCCACTTGTCTGCGAGCAAGGAGCAGCAGTCAGCAACCAGCTCCAACACATTCACCACCACGGTGCTGGCAGACACTCAAGACGACATCGTCACCGGCAGAGAACATCCGCACAACACTGATCGTACTCACTCTGCCTCCTCGTCATCGCGTTCGCCCTCCACGTCAACTGCACTTTCCATCACTAGAGCCCAACCCCCTGCTCCTTCCCCACCACCCACGACGACAGCCCAACGGTTGCGACCTCCTGAGCCATTTGCTCAACTGCCCTCTTGACGGCAAGCTCGTCCCGCAGGGCCTGATCAACTCTTGGATCATCTCTCCCCGCCACGCCCCCTCATCGCTCCTTCACCTGGACGCAGAGTTGGAGCCGCCGCCTCGCTCGCATCCTCGAGAGGAACTTCACTCTCCGACGGACGCACAGCCTGCGGAGAGGATGAGACAAGGCCGATCCTGCCCCTATGAGCAGGAGAGACCTCTGAGAGGGGAACAGCAGCTGCTGCCAGTATGCAAACTGAGCGCGAAGCAAACTGAGTTGGAAGGGAACGGGTCAGAATCCAGCCAACACGCTACGAACGTCAGCACCTCAGCGATCGGAAGGAAGACGCAACGCCAAGTCTCAACTCAAGTCTGTCCTTCACCCTCCTCCTCCTGTCCACCGCCAAGAGCCTTCCCACCTCGGTGATCATCGACTTGGCACCGGAGAGGAAGATATCGCTCTGCAGCAGGTACCCTGTAGGTAGCCCCCGCACTGTCAGACGAGACAGGGTAGGGAGATCGGACTGACCTTGCTGCGACGCTCTTGAGAACGTCGACTCCAAGTAGCTGGTCAAGTTGTCGAGTTTTTCCAGGCACTCAGTCGTGTGAGGGTCCTGCGCGTCGAAGTCCGCCAGCGTCACCTTGAGGGGCATGGAGGAAGCTCGGCGAGCTCTGTCAGGACTGAGCGGCTTCTTTGACTGCACTGTTGACGGCCCTTGTACTCCTTGTCTTCCAGGAGCAAGCTGCATGCTCTGTGTGCGCGAGAGGGACTTCGAGGCTCTGTCCTCCGGTCGCGCCTGGATGAAGTCTATTCTCGTCGGCGATTTGACCCCCGCGTTAGCTACCGACCTGCCCAACAGACTCGAGCCATTCAAGCTGTCTGTCTTAGGCTGCTCCTCTCCCTTGAGAGCAACTTGTCTCCTCGTCCTCCCTCCCTCCCCTCCAAGTTCTCCTGTCATGCTCGTTCCATTGACCGTTTTGACTGGTGTCAGGCCTTAAAAAATTATGTTCAGGTAATGGAGTTTCTTATTATTCATTTAGGTAGGGGAAATTTTATAAAATGAACGGGCAGTTCCCAAATCCCGTCAAATTGCAGAGGCGCAGGCCCGCCGAGATGCCGCGACCACCAAATAGCGCAAGGGGTTCTGGGACTATGTTGAAATACAATATTTCAACTAATTCAAAGTAATACTCCTCTAGTGTTCGATATTTGAATGTAATAAATTAAATTATTTGAAATATGTGGAAAAGATTCACCTCTGAGATAAAATCGAGGTACATTGATGGGGAAGGGAATGATGCAATGGTTCACTCGATTGCACCTTCTCAGGAAAGGTAATCCCCTCAAATTATTTATAGTACTCTTCAATTAAAAAGCAGTATCTCTCTAACCCCTCTCTCTGCCGCATGACACACAAACTTACTCAGGGTCAACACACCGCACATTTATCGACAGAAGACCCCCGCCTTTTCCACTATGACCCACCCACTTTGTACCTAATCTGACGATAGTACCCCTCCCATCCACCCTATTCGAACCCCCACCCTCCCAATGCACACGCCTCACCCTCACATTTAGCTTCACCCTCGCCCTAACTAGGGGTTATCCTTCTCCAAACAACCCCATGTACCATGAAATCTTGAGATGAAAGTAGGGGTATGTTGGTACCCCCATGTTCTACAACCCACCACCAATTCGGCACTTTGCCGGGTCTGCCACAAGTCCGCTGTGTGTATGTACCCCCACCCCCTGCTGTCCCAGAAAGGACCCCACGTTTTCATAGCGCACAATTCTCCTCGCCAATGCATTTTCGCCCCGTACACGGCATGCTGCTGGTCGAGGAGCTGCGAACTGCGGTGATCACCTCCATGGACGTGAAGGGATCAGAATTCTGTATCAAGATCCCTTCCACCGGCAACTTTACCTGCATGCAAGATGATCCAGAGCTTCAAGCATTCTTCGCTCCGATCGTGGACAACAGCACATCATGTTCGATCTCAACTCCTGGCTCACAACCAAGTTGTCCACATACACCAACTCGGCACTCAGAACATAAGAAGATTCAAGCAAATTTCTTTGGTCTTCCGAGCTTGATGCTTGAGGTACAGCAGCAACTGAACCTCATTCAAGCACCTTGTACCACACAAGACTATGCAATCAAAACGCCTATGACAACTCCTCTGTCGCCTTCGAGGACCTCATTTCAGCACCAACGTCTGGTTCAAGCAATATCGAGCATTTCTGAGTCTCAAGTGATTTCATGCTCCATGGATAGCGTCCCACTGAAAGACAAGCCTGTCTACATGCAACAAGAAGGCCGCTTTGGGTTGCTGGACATCAATTCCCCCAACATGCAAGTGGTGATCGGATTCATCATACCAGGGAGTGATGCTTGTTCCATCAAAACGAGGTTGGCGGACCTTCTCAACGTTGAGAATGAGAAGTGGAGAAATAATGAGGGTGTCGCCTCTGATTCCACTGACGACTCGCAAGGTTCGGACGCCTACGCAGCCGGAGCGATGCAAACAGATGGCAACATTGCGAAACGCCGTAAGCGTGAGGTGAAGCACGATCTCGGACGCATCTTGCAGCAAGCTGGCTTTAGAACTCTTCAGAAAAAGGAGAAGACTGGGTTCAACAATTTCGATAGATCATTCCGAAACATTGGAAGCGACTGCAAGGCGCTGGTTTTGCTGTTCGATCCAGAGACACTGCGCAAGTACGACGCAGACGTTCTCAGCAAAGCTCGAATGAATTCTGAACAGAGAAGATCACGGGGGAAAGAGAACTGCCCGACAAGGCCGAGGACGAAACTGTCAAGGAAAAAACTTGATTTCAGTGTCAACTTCACTCTACCGTCCAACAACTTCGCAATGCTTCCGCGATGAACTGTGCATCTACCTACAGAAAGCACACAAATTTCAGGCAAGGGTGCTAGCCTTCACTCGCGTCCACCTGCCTTGTATCAACACGCAATCAACTCTTCTCTGGTCTCAGTACGTCCATGTGATTGCTGAAGGAGATCGCACACGACTGGAGAGGGATATACGGACATAATCACCCCAAATCCTATTGTTGGGGTTAAGTGGATCAAATCTAATGCTATGAAGGGGCAAGCAAGGAATGGGATTCATCAGGTTTCCCTCCTTGTTTTGCTCGTCATCAATCTTAGAATTTGTTTTTATGCTGCGATAAAACGAAAATCAAATTTTGTGTCATATATCTCATGATACATCTGGAAATGTGTTCTCCCAAACTTCCTATGCAATCCATACTTCCTATGCCAAACGCTGTGCTAGCTGCACCTCTCTTTTCATCCGAGCCATCGTTTTTGTTTATCGTCGTTGTGTTTTGCTGCCTTGACTTGCACTGTGCCTGGAATCTCTTCCAAACAATCGACAAGTCATCATGTTCGATTCCTTTCTTCCTTTGAAGAATTGAACATTCGATCCCGTCACTCGATCATGTGAGAGAGGTCGCATCTTGCTTCTCGTCTCACATGCCGTCTCTCCTTGTACTCCCCAGCCCCCCCTCGCCACCATCGTCCCACTTCAATGATGAGTCCTCCCGCAGGGACCCCCTTTCCATTGCTTCCTCTTCACCGGTACTCACTGATCAGTACCCCCTAAGTTTCGGGTAAAAGTAGGGGTAAAACTTCACTTGGGATCCACCCCGCCCTGACTACAAATGTAAAAGGGGGTCATGGCAGCATCGTTACATCCTTCGTTACCATGACGTAACGGAAGGTGTTATAAGCCAGCGGCCTCGCCATGCGAAGGGTAGTAGCGATGCTGATGATAATGGCAGGTGAGATGAACACAAAATCTCCTCCTCATATCTCCTCCCTGTCTCAACTCCTCCTCCTCTCAACTATTCCTCCTTGTCGCAACTCCCCCTTGTCTAATCTCCTCTTCCTCTCCCTCCTCCTCTTCATATCACCTCCTACCAACTCCTCCTTCGACTCCTCCCTCTCTCGCCTCCTGTGGTGTCCAAAATGATTCTTGCCGTACAGCCTCTGCTCCCCGATGTGCAGCATTTTCTTCCAGCTTCCTTTCCTATGAGCGTCGAGGATCACAGGCTTTCAAGATGCTTTCGAGGCAGTCTACGCGATCATTCTCTGTCTCCATGTCGGGAACCTCGCAGGGAAGGGCAAGCGCGGCGGTAGCTCAGAGCAAGGAGAAGTCAACCGGCAAGAAAGAAAAGCTAGATCTGAAGCCTCCCAAGGGGACGAGAGACTTCTACCCCGAGGACATGAGGATGAGAAACTGGCTCTTTGGCCACTGGAAGGATGTTGCTCGCCTGCACGGGTTCGAAGAATACGATGCGCCTGTGCTGGAGAGCGAGGAATTGTACATAAGGAAGGTGCGATCAAGACGCCTCTTTGTGTCTTGCAGTCCCTCCATGTGCTCCACGAGTTGACTGGCTGTGCTCACCGTCCAGGCGGGCGAGGAGGTCACCCAGCAGCTCTACAACTTCGAGGACAAGGGGGAGAGGAGAGTCTCACTGAGACCGGAGATGACGCCTTCTCTTGCTCGCATGGTCATGGCCAGGGGAAAATCGCTGACGTTGCCGGTGAAATGGTTCAGCATCCCTCAGGTACTCTCCTCCTTGTCCGTGGTCAATCTGCCGCTGACAGGCAGGTCGTCAGTGCTGGAGGTACGAGCGGATGACGCGAGGGAGGCGTCGAGAGCACTACCAGGTTCGACCATGAGCCTCCGTGTGCTGCCGACTCACTCGCCCCTCTTGCAGTGGAACATGGACATATGGGGTGTGCCGGGCATCGAAGCTGAGGCGGAGCTGCTGTCCGCCATCGTAACTTTCTTCAAGAGGGTCGGCATCACAAGCCAGGACGTTGGGATCAAAGTGAACTCCAGAGCTGTCCTTTCTGAAGTCCTGACGGCCATGGGAGTTCCTGCTGACAAGTTCGCGGCCACCTGTGTGCTGGTGGACAAGCTGGAGAAGGTGAAGCTGGATGACATCCGCGGGGAGATGCAGGAGCTCGGGCTCACGGACGAGATCATCACCAAGCTCGTTGCCACCTTGTCCATCAAGGATCTTGACGCCCTAGAGCAAACACTCGGGAACGGCTCCAAGGCGCTGGCTCAGGTGACGCGAGTGCATGGAAAGATGCTATGTGGTGTACTGACTCCCCTGGTAGCTGAAGCAGCTCATGGAGTATGCGGAGGCTTACGGGTTCAGAGACTGGCTCATTTTTGACGCCTCTGTGGTCCGAGGACTCGCATATTATACTGTGAGTGCAGGCCGATGATGCCTCTCCTTGAGCTTTGGGCTGAGGGAAGTGCAGGGGGTCGTGTTCGAAGGTTTCGACCGCAAGGGAGAGCTCCGTGCGATCTGTGGAGGAGGGCGATACGATGAGCTCCTTGCAACGTTCGGAGGGGAGCCGCTTCCTGCCGTTGGGTTCGGGTTCGGTCCGATTCCAATGCTCGTGCTCGAGATGCAGACTGACAACAAGGTCAGGGGACGCGGTGATCGCAGAGCTGCTCAAGGACAGGAATCTGCTCCCGAACTTTGACAACAACAAGGTCGACGTCGTTGTCTTCCCTCTCTCCCCATCGGTGTATGCCTCCGCGGCTGCCGTCTCGGGGGTCGTGCGATCCAAGTCGATCTCCTCCGATCTTGTCCTGGCGAGTTACTTGGCCCCGATAGAGTTGCAGTGCTGACATGGCGAGCCTGGCAGGAGGACAAGAAGATGAAGTGGGCGTTCAAGCACGCTGAGAGGCTCGGAGCATCGCACCTGGTGATCATAGGCGAGGACGAGATTGCCAAGGGGATCGTGCAGGTCAAGAACCTTGCTAAGGGAGAGCAGGTGGAGGTGGAGGTCAGCAAGGTGTCGGACTTCATCGCTGAACAACTTGCGAGTAGTTAGTGATAATTCGCATGGCATAATGTAGCCTAGTAACCATGAGGCCGCCATCGATCGACCGAGTCGGGAGTCACTAACTGCGCATTGCGGCCGACTCGCCCGCTGCCACGCGCTGCGATGATCGGATCATCGGATCGGACTCCGGGACTCGGACCCCGACCGTTACGGGCACGGTGCGGTCCGGGTCCGCCGGCCCGGACACCACCGGGCCCCCTGTGATCGTCGGATCGGATTTAGTCACTCAACGAGTTGTAACCTGACGGTTTGAATCGATTTGACTGAATCGATAAAATCATCGACTGTCACAAACGGTGCGTCTTCTTGGTCATTCGAAAAAACGTCTTTTCATATCAAAGCAGTGTTAACATGCTGACATAGGCTTCAAAACTCAGGAGCTAATTTCAATGTTTTATAAAAGATATTTCATAAAAGAAGATAATATGAAGCTGACCCTGCAATCTCTTTTTTCTCCGAAAAGAGATCTTTTCGGCCCCGAAGAGCTTCTTTACTCCCTGAATTCAAGGCAGCCTCCTCCTCCTCCATCGTCTCGATCGCTCATCGAAATCCTGCCTCTCCTCACCATGTCCGACACGCACTTGCATGCTGCGCTAGTTCAAGATGAGCCTCTCGACCAAGCTCTCTGCTGGCATCACTACCTCTTTCCTCCTGGCTCGGGTTCTTTGCCGCCCTCACCGAAACATGTAAACCAACAAGCTGTCCGCCCGATTCAGGAAACGGCATTCAGAGAGCGAAGAATATCACTGCCGAAAGACTTCAAGTTCGAAAAGAAGCGCAACGACCTTGCAATCATATGTCACTCGAACGGAGAACTGCTTCTTGAGGGCTTGATGTGCGCGCAAGCACGTCAGGCAAGCTTACATGACCACCTGTAGAGTTAATTTAGATATTCATCTCCGCATCCAACTCGCAATTTTAAGTGTAGAATTATTCATCTCCTTTACTAGCAGCTTTCTCGAAAATGAATGCAAAAACCTTCTGTGTACGTTTGCCGTGTGTTTCGAGCTGTCACGACCCAATATAGTGTCGTGCCAACTGTTAACATCCGAGTCAAATCTAAGCAGAAGTTGTAATCCAACTCATCATGACTTGTGCTGCTAAGTTCGATTCCCGACAGAATATGCATCGATTTGAATCGGAACCCGTAGAAGATCTTTCGATTGCTTTCGAAAATCCCGCGCTTCAGCAAAGTTTCAAAGATAAAGTAAGATCAAGGTGGCGAAAAGGTAATTCTCATCACGATCCAGTTGAAGCCAAAAGAACAATAAATCATTGTGATTTTGTCACGCTAATGCATTTTATTCCTAAAATTTTCATCCTGTTTTTTGCCTTGACCTGCCCTGACACCATACTTCGACCTCTGCAGCTTGTCAATTACGGGTGAGCTTCATCAAGGCAACTTGCATGTTTCATCACTTTTTCATCTTGGGCTTCTTCGGGCTCACAATCTCTGTCATCGGCTTCTTTTCTTGCAGGCTAACTTGATCGAGTCGCTCACTGCCGGCTCGCGCTAGTCGCTTGAGCGCTGAGCGTCTGTGGTAGCTTGAATGGCGAGCGTGATACCGGTAACTTAGTCGGCACGTGATCATACCGGTTGCCGGCGAGTTGCCCGACCTTCGGCCGAATGTCGGATAGACATGGGCGAGGATAAGAGGAGAGGGGGGGGGAGCAGGGGTGAGCAGGGGTGCCAGGGGTGAGCAGTGGAGAGCAGTGGAGAGCAGTGGAGAGCAGTGGAGAGCAGTGGAGAGCAGGGAAAGAAAAGAAACTGACAGGTTGTGGCAGCTATGCCCGATGCCGCAGTGCTGTTATGCCAACGGACCAGGATCGCAGAGGTTTGCTGGCTGAAAGCAGCACTTGAGTTGCTCGCGTTCCTCTGCATGTTCCCATACGGGACCATGTGAGCCGCATCGTGTCAAGAGTGAGCGATGGCGAGAGATGGAGTAAGGAGGAACGGCTGATTGATGCGAGGAGATGATTGCAGGCGACAAGAAGCTACCAGGGAGTTGGAGAGAACAGATCGCGCCTGACTACAGAATCCGATCTCAGCCATATCGCAACTGAATCTACATCTCCCTCTCCCTCTCCCTCTCCATCTTCATCTCCATCATCTCCATTTGATCTCCTTTACATCTCTTTTCATTTGCATCTACACTTTTCTCTCATCTACTCTCGTCTCATCGCATCGCATCGCATCTCAGAAGATGGAGCCTCCTGAGGTCAGAGCAAACAGCTCTCGAAATCAAACTGATCGTTTAGCAGCGAGCGACTATCACTGTTGGCCCGGGTGAAGAAATCGTGAGATCTGGAGACGCCATTGAGGGCTTGTAAGACATTCCGTGCTGACTTGACCAAACCTAATCCTTGCTGCACAGCTACCTCCTGCTAGCTGGCGAGTGCGACTTGGTCGTGAGGGTGAGCACAGAGAACGCGTTGACGAGGAGGGTTGAGGAGGAGGAGAGGTTTCTTCTTGCGTCCTCGGTGAATGTCTCACTGTGGGAAACATCGGCTGGTGATCAAAGTGCAGATGATGAAGCTGAGGGAGAGCTGTATCCAAGTGAGGAGCAGCAGCGACTGCAAGTTTGAATGGGCCCCGGCATCCTCGCTCCTCCATTCCGGCAGCTCGGGAGTGGTTCGGAATCGAATGTGGTTGATACTCAGCGCACTGATGGTTTTGATTAGGAGAGCGACGTCAACAAGTGTATCTCAATGCTGCAGCAGATGTTCAAGGGGGTCTCGAGGTGTACGTGCGCGCTTATCCTCGAGTACTCCAGGATCCGACGCATACAGTACTTCCCTCACCCTCGTCTGCGAGGCCTGACTGCCTTGAAGTGCAGGCGCTTCGCTCGCTCTGGATGGAAGGACGACGTCGACCGTCGTGTTGCTGGAGGGACAGTGCATAGCAGCTCGAGGTATGACAGGAGCCTGTCCGTTGTCGGAGGTGACGGGGTGTGGCAGAGGGGCTCAGGTGCGGGCTATTGCAGGGGCTGCAGCTCCTTCCCCTGACCAGTCGGGACGTCGCTGTCCGCCTCGACGCAGTCACAAGTTGCCTGCTGATGGTGATGGAGCGACAGAGAGAAGAGGACATGGTGCGACTGGTCACCTCAGACCCCAGCTGACATCCTCCAGTCGTGCTGCCTCGGCGACCTCCTGCCCTTGAAGCAGCTGCTCTCCTGCGGTCATGGCGACCCTCCGGCTCGGTGCGCGAGGCCTCTCACTTGCGTCGCTCATGCTCCCTCAGGCTCTCGAGCCTCATCTGGACCTTCAACCAGAGACCCGCCAGACCTCCAGGCCGAACGCCCCTCGCACGTGCGGCAGCCGCTGCAGGAGGAAACGCTGAGGAGGAGAAAGTGCCGCCTGCCACCAGCCCGACGGTCGTCACACAGAGGGGGATAGGAAGAACCAGCTCCCTGCGCCCGAGCAGCGTTGCTGGTGCGTCTGTGAGCTAGCATCGGTCCTCTGAGTTGAGGTAAAGGCACGCGGCGGCTCTGCTGGTTGAGCACAGACGTGCTGGAGCCAACGTTGCACTACGAGCAGCTGATCCCGTTGATGTCCCGCAAAGAGAACATCGAGCATGTAGCTCCAGGTGACGCGTGCGATGACAGAGCTTGACGACTCCTGCTGGCAGGCGAGACGCTCTTTCCTGACGCAGAACAACAAGATCGTCAACAGCCTCAAAGATAAGCGCGTCGCCCTCATCAAGCACGTTCACTCAAACCAGTTCGACCCCGCGCGCTTCACCGACATCTGCGGGCCCAAGAACGCGATCAACAACTCGTTCCTGTACCGCATCTCCAAGGTGGCGGAGAAGATCAGACTGGCAGAGACCGGACGCGACAAGATCGACGAGCAGCTGCGGAGACTCCCAGGACACCTCCAGCTGAGGTAGGGGATGACATGCCCTCCTACATGTTTCTGTATCTCACCGACTGCCGCTCCTCAGAGAAATCTTGACGGCAGACAAGAAGAAAGAGAAGGCCGGTATCGCTTGACCTCAACAACTCTAACAACGTGCCATCTCAAGTCTCTAGTGTACATCCTCCCGTTCCTCGATCCCGAACTCCTTGTCTCCATGCACAAGAACGTACCCCGAGTCCGTTATCCTGATGTTGTGCTGGCATCTCGTCAGAGCAGCTGGAGACGTATAGAGCCCCACCTGGAGGACTTGCTGGACGACGTTGGAGGCGATGAGCGCGTCAGCTCCGACTGGAGTCGTAGGGTCAGCAGCACCTGGAGGGCGAGGGGAGGAGCAACCAGGGGAGGGATGGTAGACGCGTCCCTCCGACGAGATCTTGAGCTTCGACGGTTGAAAGCTCATCCTGCCGGCACTTTCATCGCCCTTGACGCGCAGAGAAAGTAGGACCTGAGGTTGTGCGCGTAAACCAGAGACTCGCCCTCCATGCGGTTGAAGACGACACCTTCGGTCGTCAGACCCTCCTCCTCCTCCTCCTCCTCCTCGAATCTTCACCTGTATCCGCTGCTCGCACGAAGTTCATCTCCCTCCTACATCGCACGTGTCATCATCCCAAGGCACCTCCAACGTTGACGCACCCGCACGGCGAGAGGTACTGATAGGTGGGAAGATACTTGCCTTGAGCCATGTCAGCGACCCTCGCACCAGCTACAGCAACATGGAGGGGGGAGTTCGAAGGGGGGCAGGGGGGGAGAGGGGTTGAACGGGGGTTCCCGCGATTGTAGCAGGAGGAAGGGAGGAGGACCAAGAAGGGAGGAGAGAAGGAGGCAGGAAGGCAGGAAGGCAGGAAGGATGTACCGAGATCATTCACTCGCAGCTGCCGGAAGAAGAAATCGAGGAACTTGGGCTCCTACTGTTCGTCATTCTCGTCCCCCGCCTGACGAGCAGGCGACACCTTAAGGCTCGTCGCGAAGTTGAACACCTGCGAGTGATGAGTAGCAGCATCGTATGAAACCTCTGCTCCTCCTACCTTCCTCCTAGTCCTTGTGCCGCTTTCCTCATGACACTCGTCTAAGTACAACCTGCCATGGAGGTCCTGCGGCAGAGGTCACGCGGGAGCGAGCGAGCGAGGGAGCAGGAGCGAGCGAGGGGGAGGAGGTACCACGAAGTAGAAGTACTCTCTTGTTGGGGCTGAGCTGATCCATCTCACCCCCCGCCTCATCATCCTCTTCCCCTGCCACCTTCCCGCTGCCCCTGCCCAGCCCATAGCACAAACTGAGCAAACTCGAGCCTTTTTTTTACCGGCCACATCCATGGAGGGTGCCAGCGAGATGGCGGGGAAGAGGGAGGGCGACAAGAGGGGAGGGGGGAGGGAGAAGGATGGATGGCGAGTCTTGAGTAAGC